TCTCTAATGGCTATTCGGGTGGTGATCACAAAACATCAACCCGATTCTCATAACTGTCGGGTGATGATCACAAAGCATCAACCCATTTCTACTACTCTTCTCATTCACTCTACTCTAGCACTTTCATTCTCTCTACTAGAGTGAGGTACATCCACAAAGTTCTCTCATAGAGCAAGTGCATACACAAAGTTTCTTACTCTTTCTTAGGTCACTTCTCAATGCACAATTAATGCTATGGAGAGGTTCATCTCCATTCATGCACTTATGAAATGCCAACATGCAATGTTGCAAGAATTAAGGTACACTATCATACTCAAACCTCTATTGGGATTTCATCAAACAACTCAAGTGCACAATAAAACTCTATATAACAATAATTCTAATTCTTTCTCTAACCATCCAAAATGGGGAGAATGCCCCTCACATAGCCACATAACCGCCAAAGAAAGACACTTCCAAAAGGGTTCCACAATACCTTCAATTCCATCTCAAACTACCTTTCTAACCACAACTCACTTCTATATTTTGAAAGGCATAAACAATCACAAGCACTAGAAATCTCTATTTAAGCCTCAATACATGGCATATAAACTGATATAACACATATACGTAAGTGCTATCAAAACCCTAATCAAGAAAATTCCCAAACTCAACTTGGGTGGGATTTACTTACCTGTTATGGAGAGATTCACTAGCTCTTCCTTTCACTTGATAAGCTTCACTTTTTCTCTACTCTTAAACAAATGAACAAAAACCCTCAATAATCCAATATATTCAAAACTCACAAAGCCAAAACTAAAGCAAGAATCTTACCTTAGGATGCCTTAGATTGATTTTTTACCCTTAATCACTCCAAAAGCCCTTCAAAACTCATTGAACAAAAGAAAGAGAAATTGAGAGGAAGAAAAGAGGAGAGTGGCGATGGAGAAAAAGAATGAAGGTTTTGCAATGACTTAATTCCTTTTAAGAAATTTATACACAAGCCTTCCCATTTTGCCCTTCTTCTGGGAATTCTATCTACATCCTTTGATTCATTACAAAACCACCCCCACAGCAACATATTCTCCATAAAAATCTTTCAATTACTCCCACCTTTTCCTGCTAATTAGGGTAGAATGGTCAAATTGCCCTAGGGAAGAAAATATCTAAAACTTAACAACATTTTGGTCGGCCTGTCGCTGCGGCGAGGAAACTTCTGTCGCCGCGGCAAAACTGTCCAGCAGATTCCCCGTGGCTTCAACACCTCTTCGCCGCGGCGAAGATTCTTCTTCGCCCCTGCGAAGACTGAAACACTAAACTTCTTCTATTTTCCACCAATTTCAGGGCAAGTATTCAACATAACACTCAATCAAAGGTCAACCAAACAATATTACCAAGAAACCAACTCAAATAAGAGCAAAAAGAAGAAACAATAACTACATACCTCAAGTGGGGCGTTACAACCCTATACACATCTAACTGTCCTAATCCATTAATCATCTTATGTGTATGATTATTTGGAGGTACCCCTTCCCTCAGCTTCAAGTTAAAAAGGGATGCACATAACTCATACTCAACCACTGTTGGATTTTTTATGCACAACTCTTGTAGAGCTACGAGGATATCATAAGCATTTGAAACCTTTTTGTGCTTAGTTTGAAGTTCTCTATTCATTGAAGCTAGCATGTAGTTTCGAGCCCTCTTACTGTCCTCTTTCCATTTTTCAAAAGCATCCTACTTAACTTGTGGAGTATCTGTTCCAATATCGAGTGGAAGAGGTGCTTCTAGGACATAACATATCCTTTCGAAATCCAAAACGATTATGAGATTTCTTAGCCAATCCTTGAGGTTGAGTCCAGTTAATATGTTATTGTCCATTATCCTTATGAGAACATTGTTGGCCATGTTTTATTAGTTATCAAAATTTTAAGATGAAACCGCAAAGAAAAAAAAAATTATTAGTGTCTTGTAATCTTTTAAAACCTTTTGGAGGCGTTTGGTTAGGGGTTATCCTCTATTACTGAGGTAATGTCATCTTATATTACTTAAATTATCATGTTTGGTTGTCAAGTAATATAAGATTCAGGTAATCTTCCAAATAGTAATTATTATTGGTTATATAGGTGGTAATTTGAACACCTCCATTTTCATAGGTATTTTAAAATTACTTAGTAATCTTAATTTTGTTACAATTTTACCCTTAACTATTAAACTTTTTGGACAATAATGCTCTTATTTTGAAATTAGTTTACATGAACCTGCCATTACAATTTTACCCCTAATTAATTAAGTTTTAGAACAGTAATGCCCTTATATATAAAAAAAAATTTGCAAGCCACCCAAAACCACCACCACCCGCCAGCCACCACCGTTAGCAACCGACGGCCATTATCGACTGATGTCGTCGAAAAGGCGCACAACTAGCCGAATCTGGCTGATTGTGCATCAATCTAGACGTTTCCAGCTAGATTGATGGTAAAAAATGACCAGATAGCCATAGATCTGGCAAAAAAATGACCACATCTATTCTAGTTGTTTTCAGCCAAATCCATGGCCGTTAATAGCCAAATCCATGGCCGTTAACAACCAGATCCATGGCCATTAAGGTCATATCTATGGAAACAGCTAGATATATTACTGCCGACATAGATCTAGCCGTTAAGGGCCACATATTTGGCCATTAACGGCCATTGATCTAGACGAAAACAGCCAGAATAGATCTGGTCGTTTTTTGCTAGATCCATGGCCAGGTCGGTGCATGGCCAGTAGTGCGATATTTCGACAACGGTGGCAGACAGTAGTGGCCAACGACCAGCAGTGGCAGACAGTAGTGGCCAACGACCAGCAGTGGCTTGAGGTAGGTGATGGTGATTTTGTTAGAAATTAAACTTTTATGCGACTGGGGTGTTTTAGCAAAATCTCAAATTTAGGGGGTTAAAAAATGGTTCAAAAGATAATAATAATAATATTATTATTATTATTATTATATTATATTATATTAATATTTAAAAAGGAGAGCAATTTAGTAATCTACATAACATACCCACTAATTAATTCCTTCCAACCAAACATATCAGTATAACATACCCACAAATTTATTCCAACCTAACCAAACATATTTCCCTGAACATTCCCAGTAATCTTCAAGATAAAATTACTATTGGTTTTGAGAGATTACTAGAATCTTATATTCCTTGACAACCAAACGTGGTAATCAAGTAATATAAGATGACATTACCTCAGTAATCCCTTATTACCCCCAACCAAAAACACCATCAAGGTAATATGTCTTTCCATATTAATATAACATTCCAAGTACTGCAACATTCCTTGAACCAAACACCCCCTAAACTTGAGAGTCAAATAAGAGTAAACGACATTTTCCCACCCAAGGTTTGGCTTAAAGACACTTTCCGACCCGAAAAGTTTCAAAATGACATTTTTCCACCCATAAGCCAAATCCATTAGTAAAATCCGTTAACTATAGTGTATATTCATTGTAAAGACGAAAATACTTTTTACTATTTGACTTAATTTTTTTTAATTATTTAATGTCATGTGAAAAAAGTCAATTACCTATATACCCACTCTTTAAATATGAAATTATTAATATGCCCTTGACTATAAACGGGGATATAAATTACCAGTTTATCCTTTAATTTAAATGAAGTTTAAGAATTTAGGTGGTATTTAAATAACACCACTCTTTTTAAAAACTATATATATATTGCATGATTGTGAAAATTTATTAGAATTTTGGAAATTCTTCATAGATTTTATGTTTCAAAATTTAAGTTTATTATAAGCCTTTTTTACTCTTAAACGCAATGAATAGAATTATATCCAGGATAGAGAATTGGATTAGACATAAATAAGACTAAATTAGGAAATAACTTCCTCAAACAAATATTTATATAGATAGGTTATGTACAGCCCTTAAAACTCAAGAAGCTACTTAGACCCCTCAAATATTAGAAACTACCATAGGGATCGCTTGCTGTCTATTTTGCAGTTAACTCTAAGTTAATAAAGGGTAGAATGATCTTTTAGCTAATAAATATTAAAAAAAAATAAAAAAAAATTACATTAAATATTACCAACTTTAACAAAAGAAAAATTATTAAATTGTATAAAATATAAAAAAAATTTAAATTAAGAAAAAAATCTAAAAGACTGGAAAAATTAAAAATTAAATAACTTAAAAATGAAAAACAAAATATGGGAAATAATTTGAAAAATGAGAAAGAATCTGGAAAATTAAATAAAGAATCTGGAAAATTAAAAAAATAAATAAATAACTTTAAGAAAATAAAAATAAAAAAGCTGATGAAGCCTTTTAATTTTTAAGGTTTAGATTTAGAAGGCCGAAAAGTTAATTGGCCAATATTAAAAAATATGTGTATTTCTTAAGAATTCGTTAAATTTAATTAACTATTTTACTTTCTTATTTTAATTTTTTGAGTTAAATATTTGTGATTTTAATTTTTGAAATTGTATTAATAGTTCTACTTTTTTAGGGGTGAAAAGTTATATTTAATCTTTTTTTTAGTCAAATAATTGTGATTTTAAGTTGTAGAAGAAATAGAGCTAAGGTAAATTCGTAATTGTCATTGGTCAACATTTGTCAATTGCTTTATTTAGCAGAAACGCTAACAGCAAGGGATGTCTATGATAGTTTTTCATATTTAAGGAGTCTAAGAGGTTTCTTGAGTTTTAGGGAGTGTAAATGTTTTTTTTTTTTTTTTTTTTTTTTTATCACCGCACTTTAATTAATCCCTTAAAATTTTGGAATTATTAGTTAAATAAAAGTTCCAATGACTATCCCTATTACAATCTGGAGAGACTCAAACTCAGAAATTTATGGAACGTCGTTGTACTTTTTTACCATCATGGTGGTTAGTGTAAATACAAATCCCATAAGGATTGAATTAGTTGTAAGTTATTCAATCCCACCTAGCGAGTTAAATCTTATCAAATATTTACATACTAACCCTATAAATTAATTAGTAGAAAAATAATGAGAATGAATTGTGAAACAAAAGCAAAAGATGACATTTAACATCAATAATTCTAATACAATTTCTGCATCTCCCTGCTCAAAATGTTACACCTAATCAAACTACCAATACTTTTGAGCACCATCTTCACATCTTCCACTCGATTTCCGTCAGCCAACCTCTTATACAAATAGCTGTCAAATGTCATTCTTTGCACATACTCATCACCACATACTTCCACCATTGCCTCCCTTCCTGCATTACTCCCATAAAACACTCTTTGCAACAAATCCAATACCTTATATGTACTCAAATACTTGTCATCCCACTTTCTCAAATACTCCCTTTTCAAATCACCTTCATTTATCAGTTTCTCTCCTGCTTCAGATGCCTTTACTATTCCTTCTCCACAAATCCTTCCAGATTTTGCAGCAAAATATATCCCTTCACCTGAACATTTTGTTACGTACCCAGCAGCATCCCCTACCAGCGCCACGCGTCCCGCTACGCGTATACTACGTGGATGTTCAGGTATCGGATGAGCCTCCACTTTTATCACTTTCCCACCCTCTATTTTACACTTCACTCTCTCTCTAATCCCTCTCTGATACTTCTTAATATCCTGCTTTGAGCACACCGTCCCCGTTCCTACCGCCACGTGGTCACACTTGGGGAAAACCCACGCGTAGAAATCCGGTGACACGTCATTGCCCACGTACATCTCAGCAAGGTCTTTGTAATACTCCATTTTGTCATCGGGTAACTTAATTCTCTCTTGAAACGCAATGGCACAAGTGTAATTTCCAGCCTTGATTGATTTTGCTACGCGACTGTTGGCTCCATCAGCGCCGATGACAACATCAACGGCCAGACTATGTCGGGAGTTGTTGATCAAGTGGTGGATAATGTAAGGGGCGTTCGGGGAAGAGGGGACATCGACTTCCGTGACGAGAGCGTGGATGAGTTGTGCTCCGTGTGATTGAGCGCGGCAGCGGAGGAAGGAATCGAGTACTTCGCGGCGTAGCATGGGGATAGACTCATGAGGCCTAAGCGTTTTGGAACCAAAATCAACGGTCAAATTAGAGGGGGAGATGATCTTCATTTTGGTGACGTGGCGGTCAATTAGGTGGAGAGGGATAGAGAACTCTTCTAACATGCACAAAGGGATGGCACCACCGCAGGGTTTGGAGGTTGAAGGAGAACGCTCGAAAAGGAAAGTCTCAACGCCGCCGGCAGCAAGCGCCTCAGCGGCAGAGGATCCAGCAGGGCCTCCACCTATGACGGCGACGCGTAGCTTGCGGCCTGGAAGGGTGATAGAGGCTGTGATGGTGAGAGAAAGAGTGGAAGGAAGAAATTTGATTGATTTAGGTTTTGGTTTTGGGGTTAAAAGAGGAGAGAAAGTGGTGTGATAGTTGTTAGAGAGTGAAGATGCCATTGGAGAAGAAGGTCGATTAGAAGGGAAGAAAGTTGAAGAAGCTGTGTTGATTGTTGTTGGCTTTGGTAAAAGAGAGGGGAAAGTGATGGGTATATTTAAATATATATTTTAATTTGTATTTTTCTCTTTTGAACAGCTTTTACCGACCGCATTTCAATTTTAAAATGAGATTCTCTGTTCAAATCAAAACAAGAGATACAACACAACACAGTCACACTAACACACCTCCTCATCATATTTTTATTTCAATAAGACTACAGACATCGAAAAAATTATACCGAAATTATGCATTGGCCTATGTATACCAGTCACATAAATTTTTCTTCAATTTTTTTTTCTAGTGAATGAACATCCAAACGTTCACTCACATGGACCCCCGTCCATATTATATGAACAGAGGTCCATATACTAGGGACGGACATCCCCATTTAAAGGACATCTGTCTTTGAATAAAATACAATAAAAAAAATTTTATAAACATTAGGAACGACCGTTCATCGGTTATGGATGGCTGTCCCTTCATTTTGGACAGGCATCTGCAAATAAGGGACGCTCGTCATTAACTAAAATATAAAAATAAAAAATAAAAAAACTTTAGGGACGACCGTCCATAAATTTTGGACGGCCATCCATTACGTTTGGACGGGCGTCCATTCCTAATGGATGGCCGTCCTTTATGTTTGAATAGGTGTCCATCGTCCATACTTTTAAAAAAAAAAAAAAAAAAAAAAATTCTAAAAAAAACTATTTTCTTCGTCTTCATTCTAAAAAACCAATTGCTTTGAGCTTCAATTAGTTTTTTAATGCAGATTGCAGAGAAACTCAAAGCAGTGATGGGAATCTCAATAGGAATACCAGTGACAGAACACCCAATCAGTTTAATGAGTAATAGTCAGAAATAAATCCTAATCCATTCGATGAATTTAAAACGATATATAGTAATAATCCAAGTAGCTTCAACTGATTCAAGTGTTGTGTTTACAGAGGCTTGCAGATCGCTCAAGCTGTCCAAGTTCAACTGGAAGTGCAGAGAAAACTTCATGAACAGATTGAGGTACGTACAACCATTAAACCAATCAGAGATTGGTTTCTGATTATCAATAAAGCATCAATACAGTTCAAACTTCAATTAACTGGGAATTTATATTTTCAGGTACAGCGACATTTGCAGCTAAGAATTGAAGCTCAAGGGAAGTACTTCCAGTCTGTCTTAAGAATTTTTAGAATTTTTTAGAATGAAGACGAAGAAGAGAGTTTTTTTTAGATTTTCTTTTTTTTTTTAAAAGTATGGACGGGCGAGCGTCCATTAGGAATGGACGTCCGTCCAAACGTAAGGGACGGCCGTCCCTAAAGTTTTTTTTTTTTTATTTTTATATTTTGGTTAAGGACGGGCGTCCGCAAATAAGGGACGCCCGTCCAAAATGAAGGGACGGCCATCCATAACGGATGAACGGCCGTCCCTAATGTTTATAAAAATTTTTTTATTGTATTTTATTCAAGGACGGGCGTCCTTTAAATAGGGACACCCGTCCCTAGTATATGGACCCTCGTCCATATAATATGGACGGGGTTCCATATGAGTGAACGGCCGTTCAAATTTTTTGGACGGCCGTTCACTAGAAAAAAGTTGAAGAAAAATTCACGCGACTGGTACACGTAGGCCGATACACAATTTCGGTGTAATTTTTTCGGTGTCTATGGTGTTATTGTTTTTATTTTGGGACAAGAACAATGCTACAATTATAAAAACATATACTAATCCATGCACCGACAGCCATGATATTATTCTTTTTTCTTAAAAAAAAATTCATAATTAATAGAGGATCATAATGGTGCCATGTCTTATACGTGAGTTTGGTATATATTTTTTAAAAACTATATTTTTTTTTTTTTTGAGTGTTTTAAAAAACTAAAACAAAAAAACGAAGTTTTAAAATAGTTTTCTATGTTAGGTCTACAATCTAATTTCACAACATTCTCTCGTAATCTTTGACGTAATAATTTATTATTGGTCAGCTTACAAAGTAGATTATGTCTATATAAGTCTTATTTACTTATCTACGAACTAACTAGTGATGAACTTTCGTATTCAAATTTATGAAAAAAAGTTGTGAAAGAAAGCGATGGAATTAGTATTCTCGTAGATATAATTCAATTTAATGTAAAAAATTAAAAGATATAAATTCTTAAATACTAAAGGTCAAGATACACTCAAGTAATTTCTTGACTTAAATATTTTATACTCTTTAGAAAGTGTGCATCACTGATGATCAACGGCGATAAGAGTTGTTAAATTGATACTAAATATACCATATTTAATTTTTTTTATCACCGTTGGATCAACGATGATAAACAGTTTAGATAAAGTGTTTAAAATTAAGTCATGGTATCTAAACTCATATTAACATTATTAAAAATAGAGAAAATAATTATTTATCACTCATAGAATGAGCTAATGACACTTTTTCATCAGAACAGTTTCAAATATAATTTTAACCCTAACATAAATCCGTCAGTAAATTTCATTGTGAACAATGACAGGATGGTCAAAAGTCCATAAAAGTGAGGACAGGTTATCAATTAACCTTGTGCATCAAAAATCAAAATTTAGGGTTGAGGGGTTACGACGAACCCAGAAAAATAACGAAGAAACCCCGCCACCATCTCATCCAGTTTGCCACTGTCACTCCACCACCTCACCTACTTTGCCAACGTCGCTCCACAGCTCACCCACTTCAATTCTAACCGTCAGGCCACACCCTTCACACTACTACTACAATCCGAAATCAACACAAATCACCGCCACACCAACACAAATCAACATCGTCCTCTAAAGCCCTCTCTTCTCTCCTCTTTTTATATCATCCCCAAATCATTTCCCAAAACTTCCATTTCATAATCGAAAGACATTAACTACGTTTTATGAATTTGTGTTTGTATTTATTTTCTATTGCTATTTCTATTATGATGATTATGGAGTTAGGGATTGAGGATGAAGTTGTATAGAATAATTAGAAGTGGATTTTGAGGGGTGGTTATGGAAGATGGAGAGAGGGGGTGGTTACGGCTGTAAAGGTGGAGATAGTTTGTTCCGGTGCCAGATTGCCGACAACCGGTTAGGCAAAACGCTGCGGGCATAGGCTGCGATCCGGACTGGTCACACGTAAGCAGGCTGCGGCCCAGGCAATGTAGGTGGCATTCGGCTGCGGCGATGAGACATTTCCTTTTTTAATAGTTTCATAAAACGTTGTCATTCAATTAATAATATTCCTCTTATTTTTTATTTTTCAACAATAATATTTTTTATCTTGTTAGGTTGGACTACAGACACACACACATATATAACTGAATATCCATCCAGTTATTCGTCATGTGACATATTTTAGAACTCATAAAATTGTTCTATTTTGACACATAAGATTTGTGATTGTCATGTGGTTAAATTTTATTGATGATAATACAGAGATATATTAATTGTTGCATTGGTATTCTAAATCCAAAGGTAAAAGCATACCTATTTGAGTACACGTAGGACATTTTTTTTCTTTTTTTTTCCTTTTTTTTCTCTAAAATTGTTTTATTTTGGAGTTCTAGAATTGTTCTCTCTTGCCATATTGGATGTGTGGTTTAATGAGATGTTTTTAGCTTTAAGTTCATAAATACCCATGCAGGTTGTTTGCCCTGTGGCATATTTTGGAAGCTCTAGAATTGCTCCATTTTGACACATTGGATTGACAAGCCAATCAAATTACTCTATTTTAACATGTTGAATTGGTATTTATTGATCTATCTATAATTATTAATTAATTAAAAAAATGGAATATTTATTAATAATTAATAATAATAATAATAATAATACAAGCGCATTGCATCATCATTCTAAAGGTCTAACCATAATGACACATCGGATTTGTAATTGTCATGTCGTTGAATTTTACTAGTGATGATGTAGACAATATTAATTGCTACATTGGTATTCCAAAGTCTAAATAAATAGACATAAAGATTGGATTACATAAGTGCATTGCATTGATAGTAAAAGCATACCTGTTTATTAATAATTATATAGGTGCATTGTATTGACATTGCAAACTTTTCTTCGTATTCTATTCGTATTTAATTGTATTGGCATTCGAAATGTCTAAATAAGGGGTTATAAAAGGAGCGTATGTTTAGTTGTGTATTATCGCAATATGTTAGTTGGTGTCAACAATACGTCTGGTCTTTTGTTGATTGTTTATGGGTCACGTTAGTTTGTGTCAATAATACGCATGTTCTTTATGATTTTGTTAATTGATGATTTTTTATTTATTTATGTTTTTGTTGTTATGTACAAGTCAAAAATTCATGAATTGGCATGGAACAAAAGAATGATGTCTGATTGACATTGTCAAATGAGTTATTATTTTGATTCGTTTTTCTGAACTGTAAGTATATCTTCTAACTATTTTAATACAAAATTGTAAGTAAATCTTCTAACTATTTTAATGGTTATTATTTAGTTGAATGATTATTTTTGTTCAATCAATCTATTTGAATGATTAATTGTGTTAGTAACGGTAAGTTTATTCCTTAACAATTTTAATATGAAGATTAATTAACTTTTGTTAATTTTGTTTTCAGGTAATAGTTGTTACACGAATGAATAATTGTTCTTTAACAAACTTAACATAAAGATTAATTAATTTTGTTATGTTTGTTTTCAAGGAAATGTTCATGTACTTTACTAAAATTAAATTAAGGATAATCCTATTGTCAACCAAACTGTGAGTATGTGTCATATCTATATTAGTAGAAACAATTCATTTATATTGAATATGTTTTCTATAAAAACATTCGTGTATTTTAATTTGTTATATGAATGATTAATTGTTTATGTCTTGCTGATGTACGAGTATATATGTTAAATGAATTAATTTTGGCTGATTCCGTTTTCCAACTAATAGGTGTTATTTGAAATACTTCTTATCGGTCCTAATATGAGAATCCCTAAAATTTGGGTTAAGTAAATCATTCATTTTATTATCACATGCATTTCGGTTTCCACTGAACAATCATTAGTAAATTGACCATAACTTGCTCAATAAAAATCATATTGATAGGAGGATTAAATCTTTAGAAACTAGATAGATGGTGTTTTAATTTGATATATTATACGCTTAATTTGGACAACTGTAGCCCTACTGCCAAACCATTCATTTCATCATCACACACATTTTGGCTTCCATTGAACAGTCAGTAGTAAATGGATCATAACTTGCTCATTAAAAATTGAATTGATGGGAGGTTTGCATCATAAGAAACTAGACATATAGGGCTTTAAATTGATATATTATACGCTTAATTTGGATAACTTTAGCCCCACTACCGAAACATTTCTTTTATCATCACACATATTTTGGTTTCCCTTGTTTCTCGATTTTCACTAAATTATCAGTAGTAAATTAGTCATAACTTCCTCAATAAAACTCCAATTGATGAGCGGTTTGAATATTTGAAAACTAGATAGATAACGCTTTAATTTGATATATTATATGCTTAATTTGGATAACTATAGTCCCCCTGTCGAACCATTCATTTTATCATCACACATTTCAGTTTCCACTAAACAATCAGTAGTAAATTGACCATAACTTGCAAAATAAAACTCCAATTGATAGGAGGTTTGAATCTTTAGAAACTAGACAAATAGAGATTTAATTTGGTATATTATACGCTTAATTTTGATAACTGTAGCCCCACTTCCAAACGATTCCTTTTATTATCACACACATTTCAGTTTCCACTAAACAATTAGTAGTAAACTGACTATAACTTGCTCAATAAAACTTTAATTGATGAGAGGTTCAATCTTTAGAAACTAGACATATAGGGATTTAATTTGGTATATTATACGCTTAATTTGGATAATTATAGCCCTACTGTCGAACCATTCCTTTTATCATCACATATTTTGGTTTCTACTAAACAGTCAGTAGTAAATTGACCATAACTTGCTCAATAAAACTCCAATTGATAAGAGGTTTGAATATTTAAAAACTAGAAAGATATGTCTTTAATTTGATATATTATACGCTTAATTTGGTTTGGATAAATATAGCCCCACTTCTAAACCATTCCTTTTATCATCATACACATTTCGGTTTCCCCCGTTTCTCGATTTCCACTAAACAATCAATAGTAAATTGACCATAACCTACTTTATAAAAATCCAATTGATGAGCGGTTTGAATCTTTGGAAACTAGAAAGATAGAGCTTTAATTTGATATATTATATGATGAATTTCAATAACTATAGACCTACGGCCGAACCATTCATTTTATCATCACACACATAAAACCAATTCAATTTTTAGTGATGACTAAAGAAAATAAATATTGATATGTAGTTTTGATTATATTTGTTCTATCTCTTTTTGCTGATATTTTTTTATGTTACATACATATACCAAAAACAGGTTGTTGTTTAATATAGAAAATTTTATTTTTATCACAAATATCATCTGATATTTGTTGCCGAACCATGTAGCTTTAGTAAACCATTTATTATATGCCGAACCATTATTATTATCCTTAAAGGAAAACAAATATTGATATATAGTTTTAATTGTAATGATTCTATCTCTTTTTGTTGATATCTTTTATTGTTACATACATATATCATGAAAAAAGTTGGTTGTTGAATATAACTAATTTCATTTATTTAACAAATATCAACTGATGTTTAATGCTAAACCATGTAACTTTAGTAAACCATTCATTTTATCATCACACATATTTAGGTTTCCACTGAACAATCAGTAGTAAATTGACCATTACTTGCTCAATAAAACTCCAATTTAAGAGAGATTTGAATCTTTAGAAACTGGACAGATATGGCTTTAATTTGATATATTATACGCTTAATTTGGATAACTTTAGTCTCATTGTCAAACAATTCTTTTTATCATCACACACATTTCGGTTTCCATTGAACAATCAATAGTAAATTGATCATAACTTTCTCAATAAAAATCCAATTGATGAGAGGTTTGAATCTTTAGAAACTAGATAGACATGGCTTTAATTTGATATATTATACAATTAATTTTGATAACTGTAGCCCCACTACTGAACCATTCATTTTATTATCACATACATTTCGGTTTCCACTGAACAGTCAGTAGTAAATTGACTATAACTTGCTCAATAAAAATCCAATTGATAAGAGGTTTGAATCTTTAGAAACTAAACAGATAGAGCTTCCCCTCTATCAAGCCATTCTTTTTATTATCACATACATTTTGATTTCCCCTGTTTCTCGGTTTCCACTGAACAGTCAGTAGTAAATTAACCATAACTTGCTCAATAAAAATCCAATTGATGAGTGGTTTGAATCTTTGGAAACTAGAAAGATTGGGCTTTAATTTGATATATTATATGATGAATTAGGATAACTATATACATGTTGCCAAACCATTTATTTTATCATCACACATATAAAACAAATTCAATTTTAGTGATGGCAAAGGAAAACAAATATTGATATGTAGTTTTAATTGTATTTGTTCTATCTCTTTTTGCTAATTTTTGGATTAATATTTTTGTTTGATTTGTGGGTTTTGTGGGTTTTACAATTATTTTCTTTCTTTAGGATGCTATCATCAAATGCTCTTTTTGCTATAGGTGGTGGTCAATTCTAAATGCAGCAAATAGATTTGTGTCACAAGACCTTTATCTTCATGACTTCTTCAATGCTTCAATTAAGTTGCCTTCAGATTATACTGTTGGAGTTGTTGTTGCTTTCCATGTAAGTTCTCTTCTCAACATTCTTAATTTTTTTTTTTAATTTCTAAAATAATAATAATAAAAATATTTTATTTTTTCTTCTTAACAATCAAAATCAATGTTTTCCTTTGACTCTACAAGTCTCTTGCTTAAAAGTTCACGTTTTTCAACAAAGTTTCTCTTTTCGCTTATTGATTTATAGACTTATCAATAATAACTAGTGGGTTATCCTGCAAATTTTTTTGCTTTTCTTGACAAAGTTTTAAACTTTGGTTACAGATTTCGAATGGTAACATATTTGAGAAGAACCATGATGATATAGACTTTGAGTTCAATTTGTGCATATTTTATTTATTGATTTTTTAATTATCAATTCAATATAAAATGAACTTTAATATAGAAAATATATATTTCAAAGACAAAAAAACCAATAATAATGTAAAAAAAATATAATAAATATACCTGCGTAACACAACTTAAAAATGAATATAAGTTACAGAAATTACAAGGTTACTATAAATTTTAAGTTTAAATAGTTGATCTTGATAATATTTAGGTGATCTTAAATATCATAAACGATTCATTACAAAATACTGACATCGAATATCAAAGACATGCCTGCGAAAATAATATCAATTGTACAAGATGATGATCCTAAAAATATAATTAGACCATATAATATTCAGGTGATCTTCTCAAGTTGAATGAATGATTTAATGACATCTACCTATAATTGATATTAATAATTATGTAAATATAATTATTAATTTTATCTTAACTCAACTTTGTATATTTATAAAATTCGTATAATTTAACAATTATTATATCTTAATTTAATTAGTTTATTTTGTTAGAATAAATTTGTTTTCAATCTATTTAGAAAACATTGAATAAACATACATGTGCAATGCACGGCCCATGTCTAGTTATTATATAAGTTAAAAAATGAGTCTTATCATGGACTTGGTTTTTACTTGAGAGGTTTGTAATAAAATTATTAGTATGTGTTGAGTAAAATCAAATGAACTTTTAATGGTGTGCTTCAATATTATCTCTCAGCGTTTAAAATCAACAGTTCATGTATATTTAAATTAATTAAACCAAAAATTATATAATTTATTTATAACTCCGTAATACTTTATTAAGGAAACCGCAGAGCATTTGAAAAACTTCATGTAGAATTTATATAAAAAGGAAAATAAAAATTTCTTAATGTACAAATATTGGGCATTCTTACTTCTTTAGTACAAACTAGGTCCGTTTAATATCATGTAAAACACAGATTACTGACAATCTACTGAAAACTATTAAATTGTGAATGTCATTATGCATGTTATTTCTAATTATTAATATGTAATTCGTTATGTTTACATTAATAGAACTTTATAAACAATCGAACATCAATCTTGTAATAATATTCAGTCAACAAATTTTGTATAACTTGCCACGTAAAAACTCATAATTGAATAACTTAAAAAGGCATATGTTCTATAATAGACTAATACTACACCAACAAATATTTTTCATAAACTTTCTCTCACAATCCTGACGTGATAACTCGCAATTAATTATTGGGACCCATGTGAGATCTGTTGTGAATTGACTAATTGTGAGTTGTCATATCAAAGTTGTGAGAGAAAGTTTGTGAGAGATGATTGCTGGTGTAGTATTATTCTTTATAGGAAAGAGCCCCTTGAATACAGCTGCATTTTGCCAATGATTTACAATACCCCTGCCCTCAACATGTTGCAAAACTGAGTGGTTATTCCATGCCAATATTAATAATGCAATAAAAAAGAAGTTCAAATCTAGACGACCTATCAAACAACATTTCCAATTTTCAGATTGATGCTTGAATATCAGTTACACACCAGATCAGTGTGATGTATATATTTCAATTTGACAACACTATTTGCAGTAGCTTGGTAAACTTGTTTGAAAGTGATGAAAGATGCTGCAAGAGTCTAAAGGATAAACAGCTCACAGAAGAAACTTACATTGAATCTGATTTTCCCAATCAATGGGTAAAGCATGAATGCATCTCAAATGAGCCTCTCAGGAGATTGATGTGTGAAGTAGATCCTGGATGGGAAACGGACGACACATACCATACAATGGTTGGCCTGACCAGGCTGAATCAGCAAGCAAGGAGTTCACAGTTAGTGTTGGGTTGTACAAATCCCACCAAACATAAGCTGAAGCCTGCTCACAAGCCATCTCAACAGAAAGGCAACCAATCCTCGCCCCAAATGAACCAATTCCACAGCAAGCACTCTTTGCATCCTCAAATCCTGAATTTATTTTGCATTTAGAAGAGTTCAATTAATATGTTGTATGTAAGCTATAGAAAGAATTCCTTGATTTTAAGGGTATTTATATCAAATGAGGTTTACCGTTGTTGTACAGAGCATATAGAAGAGACATAGATTATTAGACAAAGTTCAAATTAAGAAACAGAACCCTTTATAAGACTTCAAAGAACTACAACAAAATAGCTAACCAAAGTTGAGTTCTAAACCAAAAAATTCATATGTTAAATTGTGTGGGTCTAAAAGCCAAATAAATAAGTTTACCATATTTCAATGAGCAAATTAAGCAATCTATAATGCTTACTACTGCTTTCTTTCTGGTTAAGAAATAAGCATATGTGTCAGTTTCTAACTTCTGCAACAAAAATACGATGAAACCAAGTGGGGCAATGGCAAAGTGAACAGCATTTCCAGTATTCTTAGTAGATAAGTATTTTATCTAAATAATGTTGAAATGTCATCCTTTATTCAAGATAACAGGATTTAGTTCTACACAAGGTTGTCCTTAGAGAACAGAACAAAAAACATGATCAACTCCATACAAACACGGAATTAAGTCCATGGATTGAGTTTAAATTAGATTCCTTAAAACTATAAGTGCAGAAAAGAGTTCATACCATAGTAAGTTGGATTGGTAATCATCTTGATAATTCCTTGGTAAACATCACAGAAGATGATCTGAACATCTGGCAACTCAGAATTAAGTTCAACAATGTGCTCTTCCAGCATTGTGTTGTATTCCAAAACCAACTCATTGATTTCCTCCACACAAACTCTTCCATCATCAACTCCAGCTGAATTATGCCACTCCCACATTACACGTGGCGTGCACCCCAAAGGCAGTATTCCAATGCATATCATTTTCCTCACGTTTGCATCATACAGATTCCTCATAGCATGTACCATCTGGTTCACCAAAATGCCAGCAAATTCTTGGCCAGTGTACTTGACCATTACACCTGATGAATTGTGGAGAAAGAGGTCAATGTAATCATCTTTGCCAAAGGATAGGTAGAATATGGAGGAGTTGATGAAATAGTCAGCAATTTCCTCGCCAAGTTGCAGCTGCAAGAGCTGCATGGTCTCAAATACTTGGCGTAGCTGTTGGTTAAGAGACTGGTGGATCTGGCCGCTGGGATTCATTATAGTTGCTTGTGCTGAACCGTAATTCAAACCACTGAAGAACACTTGCATAGATCTATTTTGGCTGTAGAATGGTGGAATATTTGGCAACCCCATTTTCTCAGCTGCATTACCCATATAATCTCATCATTAATATAACTTGTGAGTTTCAAAAACTAAAGTACTAACTCATTTTTTTGATTTATATCTTAATATTTTAAATATATTTAATATAATATTTATAAACTTAATTTTCTAATTTTTCACTAGTTTATAGGATTACATTAGAAAACTGTTTTCGAAAACTTTTCAAATTCATTTCTACCATATTGTATCCTTGTTTTCGAAAATGAAAAATTGGATTTATATTTTATATTAAACAGGCCCTAAATATTTTGTGGCTGAATCAAAAAATTAAGATTATATTTCACTGCTAAAGCACTAGAAAATTAAGTAGTTGAAACTAGCTCAAGTCAAATATTACAAGCTGAAAAAGATGGTAAAATGAACAAAGCGAATTGAACACACGAAATGTAAATTGAAATAAAGAAAAGAAAAGAAAAGCAATTGAAGAGAGAGAGAAGTACCAAGAAGATGAGGAAGAAGAGAGGAATCGGATCCGTTACAAGGGAGCAAAGAAAGATTGTGGTGAAGAATTGGGTAAAACAGAGTGTTTTCTCCACAATCAACAGAAGAATCACCCAACACAAACAAGGGTTGGGCTGAACCTACACAATTCATCATGCACATCAAAGCACCAACTACATAAATCCCTCTATTCATCATTGTTATTGTTCAACCCTCTAATACATGGGTACCTGTATCCACTTCCGCTTTTATAAGTATCTTTTTTAGTTGAAAGTAAAAATCAAATTGGTTTTGTGGGGCCTTTAACTTTATTTTTTTTAATAGTAAGATATTAAATGTTATATATATATATATATATATATATTTCATATGTAATTATTATTTTATTGATATTCTTATGAAAAATTGTTGATATTCAAAAGTACTTTATGGTGAATCCTATGGAAAAAAAAGAATAAAAAGTTGTTTTGCCACTTTTTAATTGTAACAAAGAAAACAACTATGTGTCTTTTTGTTTTAATAAATTTTCTTAATCTATTTTCAATTTTTTGAAAATATTGAAAACGATTGAAAAATAGGAAAAATAAAATAATATTTGCCATGTTTATATTAAAATAAAATTTGAAAACACAAGGAATGAAAAAGCTCAACATGTTTGCTTGAAAATGATGAAAAAAAAAAACAAACTTTATCATTTGCACAATTGATAAAATCTTTCATATTACCACTTATTTTGTTTGTCTTGATGAACTTATCTTAAATATAATAAAAATATTTATTTGAAACCAAATTCTTATTTGATGGGAGAAGAGAGAAAAGATAAAAGAAATAAAAAAATTGAATTTTTTATTAGAAATTTTCTTTCCCTTACTCTTAAATTCTTCATAAAATTAATATACAAACATTTTACGAAGTAGAAAAAAGAAAAAAAAAATATATTTTTAATACCCTTCATTTAACATTAAATTAATAATTGTTTGGGTATTTTAATTTGAGCAATTTTCTTGTGTTTAATTGTCTATAAATAATGTATTTTCTTGTTGCTACAAGTACAAACAATAGCGAAGGTGATAATTCACGTAGGTGCAAAGCTGTTTTAAAATTGTTCTATAATTAATTACTTTTCAAATTAAATTATCAAAAACTTTTTTATTGTTTAACAAATAAGTAATTAGAGTATGTATTCGATTTAAGTAGTCCAGTTTCTTTTTACCTCCATAAACTCGCGTAATACGTTAAACCTATTAAGCAGTACAGGCGGTGATGTTATCTAAAAACTTTACAATGTATAACTACGAGTTTGTGAAATTTATTTAATACATCACTGAAATCAATTCAGGAATAAAAGATCAACCCATCTCCAAATATAAAAATATCGACTATGAGTGATGCAAAGTCAGAGAAAGACCGTGTCAACTACCTTTAGATGTCTTAGTAGTTCGATAGAGACTCTTAGATATATTACTCAAAAGATCATGAGTTAGAATCTCTCATAGGTTGCTAATAAGAATAACCACTAAAACCCTTATCCGATCGGTGGTTTCAGGGTCCCAGGAGATTGGTTCAGGTGTGTTTAAACTGACTCAAACACCCTCGATCCGTACCCCTTTTATGGATTTTGGCCATCCCTAGATAAGGAAAAATTGATATAAAACAAATTGTCTAGGATTTCTTAAATATTGCTAAAATACATAATGTTTAGTGAATATGACATATGGCTTTGTGTCTAGAGTAATTTTTTTTTTTCTGGTAACCGGAATGTCCAAGCCAACTTGCGCACCTCAATCAATCCTTAGGGTCCCTTGAACATCTTACAAGCCCAAATGATTGGATAAATCACAATGTAATAAGTAATCCCAAAGTTCGAATCTAAGAAATCAAGGAAGGGAACAAACCTCTTTGAACGTTAGGCCAATCCCTTGGAGATTGGTTTAAAGTAATTTCCTTTGTACCCTAACTATAACTTTACATGAGAATGGCCAAAAACTTATAGCAGAAACAAATTTCACCTTAAGGTTATATTTATGATGGATTCGCCGTTCAAATTTATCGAATGCCAATATTTCAATAAAATAAGATCCACTTTAAAACACTGAGTCCTCAAGAGTCTGCATATATCGCATGGCAAAAAATCAAGACCAAAATCATGTCTTATCAGTAGTTGAAATTAACAATTGGAAGCATATTTAAAGTATATTTTTTTCCGGGCTTCTGATTTTTAGACTAAATAATATTCTTCATTAGAAGGAAAACAAAATGATACCAAATAGATGGGGCGTCAGAGGGGTCTAAATAAGTTCAAAAAGTGCCGATGAAGAAGAACCAAAATTGGTATTGCATCTACATCTTAAACCATTCTAGTGCTATTTGAAGTGGGTTCAACATTCATCGATACCATCTTTTGAAGGGATGGAGACAGAGAGTCCAGATAAGAGTACAAAATTCTAAAATCCAACACAATGGGCATTCTATCTCCAACCTCTGCCTTATATTCTAAATTTTACCTCGACAGAATTCCGAAAAAGAACTACAATTTGCATTTCATCAACAGCTTTTATCGTATATATAAGTTCAACATATATTAGACTACACCAGATATAGATCAAAATTTGGAGTCCTATTGTTAAACTGAGCAGTTTGATCTCTAAAAATGTGCTAAATTATTTGTGGCAAAATGATGACAGAAAAATGTAAGTACAATATCTGCCTAAAACATATTTGCCATAAAAACTACTGAATGCCAATCTAAAAACAGAAAAAAGCATATACATTCAACACTACTACAAATGAAATATATATATAACTCTGGTGGACCAGGTAAAACCAAGACCAGTGCAACCATCACAATAAGATTTTTCTATGAACTACTATGCAATTACGATAGTCAACACTAATGTGAAGAAATTGAAATCAGTTACCAGGCATACTGAAACATTCAAAATGAATACTCTCCTATGTAATTAGTAATTACCCAAGAGAAGTGGCGTAGTGATGCCTAAATCATATGTCTATTACAGTGGCTTGCTATGCCTTCAGCTTGCCACCTGTTCCACGTTTGTTGTGCCAGACAGCACTTCTATCGCCATTCATTGGGATTTTCTTCGCTGCAACAGAACATTGATCAGATCGAACACCTTTACTAGTGATTTCTATCTGAAGCTTACGCCTCCTCATCCTATTCTCTAATCGTATTCCTCTTAGAGCACGGGCTCTTTGCTCAATTTCTAAGGCTCGTGAAAAGTTCCAAATCCTAACAATCCCTTTCTCGCCACCACATACTATACGTTCAGCACCAATGCCCACTGAGATTAAATTGCACTCAAACCCATGTAGCATTCTCTGAGGTGGCTCCACATTACTAACCCTTAAAATCTTCTTCCTTGAAAAATGCTTGCTAGTCCTTACCAACTTTCTAACATCAATTAGTGCAAGCTTCCCATCATCAGCAGCTGAGACAAGCCAAGGAAACTCAAAAGCTAAGGAATTAACAGGTCCTGAGTGAGGAAACCATGTTGCAACTTGGAAAAGATTAGTTTCATTACAACCATTTAAGATCTCAAACATGTGTATTGCCCCATCCTCTCCTCCAGTGAAAAGAAAATCTCCTGTACGGCTTCGAGCCAATGATAAAGCATTACCAGCATGGGCACCATGAAAAACAGTCCGAATAGTACCACTACTAGTATCCCAAACATACACATCAGAACCCGATGAACTAGCAACTGTAGTGTCATTGGGAGCAAGGCCATAAACCCAGTCACTATGCCTCAAGATCTTTACACACTTCAGTGAAGCTCGATCCCATACACGTACAGTCATGTCCCACGAACCGCTATATATCCACTTAAGATCCAACGCAAGGGATGTTATGGGGCCTTCATGTTCCCAAAGACGAAACTCAGTGTTTTCTTTCTCTGAACAGCAAAGGTCGAACAAATATGGGAGACTCTCAACTGCTTTCCAACAATGTATAAATCCATCAGTACCCCCAGCAACCAAAAGTTTCCTATCAGCTGCAACAGCTCTAATAGTGCAACCAAGGGGTCGAGATGATGCAATTGACAACCCTTCCTCCAAGTCCCACATTCGCACAATTGCATCATACCCAGAAGTAAATATGAGCTTTGCAGAAGCCAAAACAAAAACCGTGAGAACAGCTTCAGTATGACCATACAAAACATCAATGCTATAACGTCCCATAAAAGTCTTACTCCTAAACTCTCTCTCCACAAACAGATGCTTCCATGACTTCTCATCTGGAAACCCTGTACTCAATGTTGTAGGAACTACTGGAAGTCCCCATCTCTCACAATAAAATTCCTTCCAAGCATGATGCTCTGATGCTATTCTATGTAGAATTGTTGACACGCATGAAACTACACCTAGCTCTTTTGGGTCAAGGCAGTTAAGGATTTCAGATATCAATGCTGGAGGAAGATCAATTATTGACCGACGACAATTTGATAAAACATCATTACAGGGCAACTTTTCTACACTACAAGAACATAAAACTCCCTTTATGGTGGAATTTGCACTTTCGAAATATTTGCATTTGGGTTTGGCAAAGAGATTGCTACAGTTTAATTCAATATTTTGAGATTCGGTTATCAAATTGAAGTGAAGTGAATCAGCTCGACTTTGAAAACTATTTTCTGCAAAAACTGGCAAATCCTCGGAAACCTGAGTGCTTTGTTGGCATTCAAATGCCATAAAAGAATCGTTAAACCTAAACTAAAAATTGAATAATCAAAACCTAACTGCCTTGCGACCAAAAACCCAAATCACGAAAGCAATTAAACAAGCAAATTTTAGAGAGATCTGAAAAAATTAATCAAAAAATGGAAATTTAATCCCTAAAGAAGCCAGCAAAACCAAAAAAAAAAAAAAAGAATTGTACAGAACTTGAGTGGTAAAAATTACCTTGATCTTCGGGGAAGAAAATTTTTAAGCGATGAGTTGCTTGGTTAAAGTTAGGGCTTTATGGCAGGAAACAAATTTGGGAGGAATATTATGTCTATTTGATATTTCCACCGTATGGTTAAGGACTCGGACGGTTGAGACGTCATAGGATGGTACCAGCCGTAGGATTACCAAATGTACATAGTTTAATCCGCGAGAACACGCGCTGATTCTAATTTTCTAGCTAAATTCCTATGTGCGGATTTTGCCACGCGTTCGAGGAATTTTTGAAAGCAACGTCAGTTTGAGAAATTGGAATCTAATCCTTATTCCATAATATTTA